TCAACTGTGTTCGATATATCCAGCGGCAGCGTTTCATCCCAATATATTATTATCAAAAAATGTCAGCAGGGGCCAACTTGCTGATGTGAAGCAACATAGGTCTCGTATTGAGGCCTTCTATAACCAACGCTTCGGAATCGATGCGTTGGCCTGATTGTATTCTGTTATATCCAGGTAAACATGGGCATCCATGAATAAACTGCCCCCCTTCCATGGCCAGTATCATTGGCGCGGCGTGACAGCCCGACATGGGGCATGTTCGGGATGTTGGCCGATTCTGCACCGTGGATACAATGGCACGGTGCCCCCTGCGATGTCAAGGCAGATGCCCTTTTGCACAGGGGCTCGGGGCACCTTATGTCGCCGCTGCCATGCCCATTGCCTGGGCGCAGAAGGTACGTTGGATGAGACTCCCCAGTGCATGCGTGCTTGCCTCTCTACCTGGAACCCGTCATTCTGCCTGCCTGAACGGTCCAACGCCGCCAGCGCCTGATAGGCCCAATGGCGGTTGCGAAAGCACCTCCTGGCAGTTCCCAGGCGTCGTCTATGCCAGCTATCATAGCCTTCGGGCGGCAAGTCGTTGAGTAAGCCTTTGAGCTCTACCCAGCCGTCGTACTCGTCGTACGGAGGGACCGATGTGACGAACCTATCACTAAGCTGGTCGAGATGGAATGGCTTGTGACGAGTGGGGGTGGTGGGCCATTCCGGACACGCACGCTTGTCCTTATCGCCCAGTGCCGCTGCATTGTGGGGCTCGCTGCTTTGAGGGCCCCCCTTCAGCACTTCTTCTCGGACCCATAACTGAGGGCATGTTCTCCCCGCGAAACGTCGCGGGCAATCTGGCGTGAGCGAGCCTCGCCGTCAGCGTGTTCAGCAGTGCGCTTGGCGTTGCACTGCGCCGCGATGTAACGGTCAGACCCGTCGTCAGTAAAGGTCCTGTGCGATGGGTGGATTTTCATTTGGTTGGCAGTGTCCAGGTTCTCCCAACATCGCCTGCATGCCTCGGGCACTTCGAGGGCAACGGCGGGCTGCCCCGCGGGAGCAGCGGCTGGTTCGCCATACGTCCTCACTGGCTCAGAGACTGCAGGCGTTGCCGGCGCTGCTGATGAGCTGGCGCTCTCAGATGCCGCCCCCGCCCCACGGATGTCGAAGTACTGGCATTGACTGATCTTGGGAGCCGCTCCTGATGCCTTTGAGGTCGTTTCCAACGCCTTGAACTTAGCACCGTCCTTGGATGAAGAGGCCTGTTTGGATGATCCTTCCAGTGATGGCGCCCAGCCTGTCCCGCAAGTCCTGCCAGGTGCGGGGCCGCGCCGGCATGCGGGGTCCTTTGGGGTAGGCGTGCTGTCGCCTTGAAGCGCTGCTGCTGCAGCGGCCGCTGCTGGCTCTCTGGATCGATGTCTCTCAGCGAGCTCCCCCGCGGAACGCTGGGATTTGTTGCTGCCAGGATCGGCATCATCTGGACTGGCCCTCTTCTTCTGCTTGGGCGGCGGCGCAAGCTGGTCAGCTTCAAGCGACCTGCGCGGGCTTAAAGAGTGCAAAGATGTGGATGGAGCTACCTTCCTCCCTGGTTTCAATTTGGGGGGGGGTCCTGGCTGTTCCGCTGCGGGCGCCCCCGCTGGGGGTTGTCTGGTCGGATCCCCAGCGCCAGGGGCAGTCGGCTGAACAAGCCTTCTGAGTGCCATATTCTTGATCTTGGCATGATTTTTGCCACCCAGATCATATCTACCAGCTGCAACCCTTCTTTCAACAGGGGTTTTGATCGAACCTACCCCTGTTGCAATGGTAGTCGGTTTTTCCTGCCTGCGGAGAGATCCACATTCTTTGTTATCCTGTTGCGATAATATTTTTTGGCACCGGCGTCGCGGGAATAGTCCGCGTCGGAGGTGCAGGCGGAGTCGGAGTAGCACGAGCCAGACCCGGAAGGAGCGGCCTCGGCGGGGTCTACTGCTCGGGCAATGACCAGGCTACGTGCCCGCGCGAGCGGCTGTGGACACGACCGCGACGCTGAATGCGCCGGTCCTCAGCTTCCCCTTCGTCTTCGTCATCATTTGAGCGGTTTGCGCGCGCCTCCAGACTTGGCGGCTAGCGGATCGCTCATGGCGGCTCGGAGACCGCCCGTGAGCCACGAACGTGAGGTATCCAAGTTCGCATTGGATGCGTTCTGAAAGGTCGCCAGCATCTCGCGGCCCCCCCCCGCAAAGGATCATCATCAGATGCTCCTATGTTTGTCGGATTGCCAATGGCCCGAGGATGAAACATCATTTGTATTGCCGCGTCTGTCGCTGGATTTGCGGCTTCAGAATCAGCAGATGCCCCCGCCGTATGTTGATCGACGTCGGCGGGTATATGGAAATCTTCAACAGACTCGATCTGTGCAGGTTGCCCTGCGATGGGTGCGCCTAGCCAGTCTGCCAGGTTGATCTCGACGTGGCCAACATATATTTCCTCGAAGAGCTCATCGGCGCATCTTTCGTGGGACATGCTGGCACTTCGATGCCTGGCAGCCATGAAATTATCAACTGCAGTCAGATTGTCGGCATGGTCAGCCAATAGCGTTTCCCAATCGACATACTGCATGTCTGGATCGTTTTGAGCCAAATGCAGTGACGGACCCCTGCCTCTCCCATCGCCTCGGGGGCATTCACGGCGGAAGTGTCGCGTGCTATGGCAGATTGCAAATTCCGTTGCTTTACCGTTCGCATATTTTGGCTTGCCCCGACGTCCCCCACCTTCGCCTGAGGCGTGCCCACGGCCCCTGCCTGTGCCCAAGAATAATTCTTCATGCTGTGTTCCAGCAAGAGATGCCAGGAACGCTAACATACCTCTGCCATGCAATCGCCGTCGTTTGCCCTTTCCTTTGCCTCGACCCGTACCCTTTCCCCTAAGTGCCCGTCGGGTAGTACGTCGTGCCTTGCGAATTGGCTTCTGGAATAAACCGTCTCCACTTGCGCTTGCGCTTCTGACATCCTAGAAACAGCCATTGAGCCTGCTATTCTTCCGTAAGATACGTGGGCATGTCGAAATAGTCTAGGGCAGTCGCTTCGTCATCTGATGACTCGTCGGCGTCGGTGTCGGGGTCTATGTCGGGCTCAACGGTTTGCCCCGCTGAGCCTGCAAGGGTAGTGGCTTGCGCGGGGGCCGCCGTTGCCGACGGCCCCTGGTATCTAGCCCAGGAGTCTTGCGACCCCTTAGCCGGACCACCACTGTGGGTCAATTGCGTGGTGGTCTCCGTTGGTTGCAGATCGTCATTCCAGACGTTTGTAGCAGGTTGCTTTGCATTGGCTTCAGCATGAAAAAATTTCGGCGCTGTGACCGTGGCTAAACTTACCACCATGTATCCAGGGGTTCGCTCAGCAATGTGAGCACATGACCTCATGGGTTCAAGTTGAAAATCAAGTTGTTGTCGATTCCTCTACATTTGGTGGTTGAGTGGCTGTAGGAGTTGTTGTGCACGCGACGTCCCCACACCTGAGGCTCTGAACAACATAACTGTCAGGATTTGGAAGTTGGGGATGTGAACCGCTTCTGCCTCGTAGCGGGCTATGTCGAAACGCGTCAATGTCTGGTCGATCCGCTCTCTCGCATGGGCTCGGAAGTCGATGAGAGCCGTTCCCGAGTTAAGTTGGCGTTGTTCCTCTAAGTTCTCAAACTTCGTGCTAAGGCGGAACGCGATGTAGGTGTCACCATCGGCATGACGGCCACCGATGTTAACGCCAAAGTTGAGAACTACTGGGGGAACTCTCATGCCCATGGTCCGTGCGAGGCCTCCCATACCACGCTGCAGTGCTGCAGCCTGTTGGGAGGACGTCATAGTGCCTGTGGTCACGTTGATCCAGGCATGTACTTCTCGGACAAATTCACGGAAAAGGTACTTGACCGGCCGGGTCCCAGAGGGGGCCGGTTGTCCTTGTGTCGTATCCGCCATGCTTGTGTCCCACAGTACACCCGATAGCAACCCACATGAAACCAAATATCGTAATACCAATCCAATGGCCTTGTAGGTCGTGGTCGGACGTTGGTGGCTAAGATTTGTGGCGTTTGCTGTAAGCCTGCGCGGGGGTGGAGGCGACGCAATGGATTATCGCATGTTGCCATGCATGGTATATTTGAACAAGTTTCCAAGTGGAGTAGGTGGGTGAACTTCAGTAGTGTAGTAGCGCAGGGATGTAGGACTCGAGTAAGTGGCCTCCGCGATAGCAGAGGTAACGCTGCAAGTGTCCTTGCGGTTGTGCGTACTTCTGTACATCACTCCGCGCAAACCAATTGTACCCTGATGTTCCACCATGTCAGTAGTCCACCAGATAGTGCCGTGGATGGTGAGGAGTAGAGCGAGGGCTGACCACCACAGGCCAGCTCCGCTACGAAGTTTGAATGGGGCCGCGAGGCCCGTCCAGAAGCTTCGCCTTAGGCGAATCGCAGCTCCACATCTCTGTTGTATCGTAGTAGCGATAGTCCCAATCGGAGGAGGTCGTCGCTGGAGCGACGGGCCATTTCAAGCGAAGGATGCTCTCGGTCTCGATGGCAAGTCGTATGCCTCGCAATGAGGCGCAATCATATGTTGGCGGCCGATCGCTTGAACACAAACGGCCGCGGACAAATGCTCGCTATCTCCTCGCCTTTGTCCCAGCTCACTTTCCTCGCCTCCTCCCCCTCTTGAGCTTGTGCATGCAGAGAGGAAGTCCTATAGGCGCCGCTTCTGTGGCATTCCGGTCGTTGCTGCCAGAGTGAGCGACCAGGGGGATCCCGTTGCAGGAAAGAGCCCCGCATCGCTCGGACGTGTGCTGTCTTTTCTCGGCGAGGATCGGCGAGGACCATCGAATCGTGGACCACCTTGCGAAACAAGGAACGCACGCCATCGAACACATGCGCGGGGAATGGAGGTCCGAGCGAAGGGGACGAGGAAGAGGAAGAGAAGGAGGAGCAGGAGGAGGAGGAGGAGGAGGAAGAAGAGGAGGATGGAGGAGGAGGAGGAGTGACAGAGACCTGGGCCGGGGCAGCACCACCAGCCGGGACTTGGCCGCGAAGAGCCTCTTCAAGAAGACCACGCTGTGCCGCTTCTACAGCCTGCGGGGCGGGTGCGAGCGCGGGTCCGCGTGCCCCTTCGCCCACGGCAAGGACCTCGCGGTTGGCCCTCGCCCCCGGTGAGTAAATCGGGCATGTCCCTCTGCAGGAAGAATATTCGACAATGGTCAACAAAACAGTCTGGGGCCGATGTTTCGGGTATTCGTTGCATGTGTCTGATTCTGTTTAAAGTTTGGAGTCGTTTTGATTTTTCGCCCAGGATCCGCCTGCAGGGAGACATGCCCGACCTGACCCCGAGATCCGGGCGTCGCACTGTTGGTCGCACCGCAGGGCCCAGACGGCATCCGATCGAGCTGGTGCGATGTTGCGGTCGGCCGCTTCGATGCGAATCGATCCCGATGTTCAGGCGATCCGATGCGGCCCGATGTTCGCAGAACGTCTGCGTGTATCCTGGCGCAGCCGATCCGATTCGGCTCTGCTGCCGATGCGGCCCGATCCGCCGGGCGTTCCCGTGCTGTTCGGCTCCCCCAGTGCAGTGTTGGCTGATCTTGCACCCCGGGCGTTTTCGCTCTTGTGTCGGGCAGCAGGGCCCTCGCAGATGCCGACCCGGCTCCAGGAGCGCCGCAAAGAGATGGGGCCTTCGAGGGCTCTGGCCGTGATTCCCTCGCGACGTCGCAATTGCTGTTGCCGACGCCGGATCTCAAACCTATCGGTATCCATGGCCTCGCGGTCTGGACTCCCTGGCCGCGACGCCGCGGATACGGCGGGTCCGTGCGGAACCTGCAGGGACCGCGTGCCCATGGGGTCGCGCCTCGGTATCCAGGCTTCGCGAAAGGAGCCCACGGGTGTTTTTCGTCTTCCGCCTCTGATTTGCCCTGGTATGCCCGTGTTGAGACGCTGTGTTGACATGCTGCGTGTTGGCTCAACGTGTTGGCCCGCGTCCTCGCGAACACGTGTTCAGTCTACGTGGTGAGTTTTGTGTCAGTACCCTACCAGTTGCGTGTTGCCTATCGGGGCGGCCAAGTTCCGCGTTTAGCGTTTAGCTGCGCTCGTAGAGCAAGCTACGGCGCCGCCGCTGCGGATGCTCCCCGGGGGCGCCTGGGCGCTGTCGTAGTCGGCGCAATATCGCAGATGCGCCGCTCGACAAAATGGCCAGGATGAGCCCCCAAAGTGTGGGTGTGTGTGTTCGTGTGTGTACGTATCTGTGTGTGTGTGAGTGTGTGCGAGTGTGTGTGTGCGTGCGTGCGCGCGTGGGTGTGTCAATATGTGTGCCTGTGTGTCTGTGTGTATGTTTGTGTGTACTTGTGTCTGTGTGTATGGGTGTGTGTGTGTGTGTCTGTGTGTCTATGTGTGTTTCTGTGTGTCTGTGTATGCCTGTGTGTTTGTGTTTCCGTGTGTGTGTGCCTGTGTGTGTGTCTGCGTGTGTGTTTGTTTGTGTCTGTATGTGTCTGTGTCCGTGTGTGTGTCTGTGTGTGTTTGTGTCTGTCTGTGTCTGTGTCTGTGTGTGTCTGTCTGTGTCTGTGTCTGCGTGTGTGTTTGTGCCTGTGCCTGTGCAAGTACCCATGTCTCTGCCTGAGCCTGTGCCTGTGTCTGTGTGTGTGTCTGTGTCTGTGATTGTGTCTGTGTCTGTGTCTTGTGTCTTGATTATGTGTCTGTGTTTTCGTCTGTGTCTGTGTCCGGGTCGGTGTCCGTGTCCGTGTGTGTGTGTCCGTGTCCGGGTCCGGGTCTGTGTCTGTGTCCGTGTTTATATTTGTGTGTGTTTGTGTATGTGCGAGTGTGTGTGTGTGTGTGTCTGTGAGTGTTTGTGAGTGTGTCAAGGCCTGTGCATGTGTGTGCGTGTTTGTGTGTGTTTTTGCCTGTGCATGTGTCTGTGTGTATGTCTGTGTTTGTCTGTGTGTGGGTCTGTGTGTGGGTCTGTGTGTGTGTCTGTGTTTGTGCCTGTTTGTGTCTGCGTGTGTGTGTGTGTCTGTGTATGGCTGTGTGTGTCTGTGTGTGTGTCTGTGTGTCTGTGTGTGTGTGTCTCTGTGTGTGTGTCTGTGTCTGTGTGTTTGTGTATGTATGTCTGTAAATATGTTTGTCTGTGTCTCTGTGTGTGTCAGAGTGTATGTGTTTGTGCGTGTTTGTGTCTGTGTCTGTGTGCGTGCGTGTGTGTCTGTGTGTGGTTTGTGTGGTGTGTGTGGTGTGTGTGTGGTGTGTGTGGTGTGTTTGGTGTGTGTGTGGTCTGTGTATGTTTGGCATGTGTGTGTGGTGTGTGCGTGTGGTGTGTGGTGTGTGTACGTTTGCGTGTGCGTGTGCGTGTGCGTGTGCGTTAGCATGTGTGTGTGTGTGTGTTGCGTGTGTGTGATGTGTGTGTGTGTGTGTTCTGTGTGTGTTGTGCGTGTGTGCATGTGCGTGTGCTTGTGTGTGTGTTAAGGTGTGTATGTGTATATGTGTGTGTGGTTGTGTGCGCACCCTCTCTTGCAAGCTGGTCGCTGCAAGCAGGCACAGTCTATCCAGTACCTGATCAATGGGCCCACCCACCCCCCGAAAAGCTGGGCCAGCGCTGCTCAGCCAACCTGCTGGAACGCTTGCCAGGTATCTTCAAACAAACTGTCCGAAAATAGTCGGGGGACGAAGTTTGGAGTATTTTTTGATAGCACCGTCGGAATCTTGTTGGGCTATTCTAATTTTTGTTCGTCGAAGGTCCGCCTGCAGGAAGACACGCCCGACCGAAACCCGGGGATGGGCTCTGCAGCTGGGCCGTGCGGGGGAGTCAGGAGGGAACAAAAACACACAGACACAATTAACCCTCGACTCCCAGGAAAATATGGGAAAATATGGGAAGTGGGGGGGAAGACAAAAACCCATAAAATATGGGAAAGTATGGGGAATCCTGTTATTCGTGTGTATTTATTTGTGTGTCCCAGGGCCCCTTCAGGGAGGTGCCCCGAGAGGGGGGCTGCGCCTGCCTCGCCCGCCGCCCCGCACCTTGGCACCCAGAGGAGTGAAAGGGTACCCCTACAGTCAAAAACCCTAATGAGGACGCGTGACTTTGCTCAGGGTACCCTTGCGTCCTTGCTCTTCCTCGCTCTTGCGTCCTTGAGGTTGTCGTCGTCCGCCGCCCCAAAAATCCCAACTTCGGCTTCCAAGGGTCTTGCGTCCTTACCGCGCGTCCTTATCAGGGTTTCTGACTGTACCTCTGCCCCCTCGCCCGTTGTCTCCTTTTTGGGCTTCCTTGGAGGCCCTCGTCGCCACCGCCGGATCCGCCTCGAGATCATGGTCAGAGCGCACCCCATGGAGAGGTCCGGAGAGCAGCGGTATCGGTACCTCTTGGTTCCCCCGGGCACCGCTCGGACTGGTGCATGCGATCATTTGTTTACCCGTTGTTTTTACGATCGGCACGCCCCCCCCTCCCCCCCTTGGAGTAGATCTTGGCTGTTTTCGGCGCCTGTTTCGAGCAGGCGGGGTCCCTCCCGCATGGGGCGCGCCTTTTGCAAACAGTCGCACCAAGCAGAGGTCCGGAGCCAGACCCACCCCCTCGCCCCCCTTGTCCGCCCAATGCCGAAACGCCGAATTATACACGCTCACCCGTCTTGCTCGGCGAGGACCATCGTGGAGCATCTTGGACCACCTTCCCCAAACAAGGCACGCACGACATCGACACAAGTGCACGGAGTGGGCGTCCGAGCGAGGGCACGTCATGGGCAAGTCTGGGCCGTGTGCCGCCTCCTCTCGGGCCTCCCGGGAGAGACCCCCGTCGCCACGGCGGGATGCGCGCGCTTGCAGAGGTCCAGGGCGCAGTTGTCTTCAAGGGCTCCCCCGAGGGCGCGAAGTTATTCGCGCTTCGCGCTTCGCGGTCCTCGTTTCTCCTCCCCCTCCTCCTCGTCCTCCTTTTGTCCCTTTGGGGGGGCGGCGCGAGAGCGCGAAGTTATTCGCGCTTCGCGCTTCGCGGAGCGCGAAGCGCGAAGTTGGGAGCCCTAGTGTCTTGCCCCCCCCCCCTCAGCGGTGGCCCTCGTACTACTCCGGCAGCGCGCGGAGAGGTCAAAGGCGAGGGTCGGGTCGAGCGCAGGGGGGCGAGAGGGGAAGGGGCGGGGATCAGATCTACTGCGTGCAACTGCTTGTGGCCTCGCCGCCGGGTCGCCGGACCTTGTGGCAGCGAGTCTCCTTTACAAGTTTCGGCTACACGCAGGAGTGACTCTTCGCCAGAGTGACCTTTGGTGCGGGTCCACTGGGGTCCCCCGATCGCCGAGCGCGATGCGGTAGTAGCGTCTCGCGCGCTTGTGTTTGGTCCCGCCGCGGCCCCCAGAAAGCCGCGCACCAACGGTCACTCTTACCCAGGGTCACTCTCACGTGTAGCCGAAGGGCTTCATCCCGTCTTTCCTTACCGAGCGCGTTCCACTGCTCGCAAAGTGCCTACTCGCAACCGCCAGAAAAAAACAAATCCGCCCCTATGTAATGGATCGTACATTCCCCGCGGCGAATCCAGGCCATTTCCGAGTAGTTACTTTGCGAGTAGTGGAAGGCGCGTGTCTATTTCCATTAGGCTTGTCGTAAGCACTGCATTCGTCGTGCCTTCAGCCAGCGTGCCTCTGGCCTAGAGAAGGGTTCCGATTTGGGTCTTCCGTGGATTCTTCGGTTTGTTTGCCGCCCCTCTGCGCCTTGGACGGGCAAACCTCCGCGGGGCGAAGGAAGAGATGCGGAGCAAGCCGGACCTCACGAAGACGTCCCTGTGCAAGCTGTGGGCCAAGGTCGGACGGGGCTGGGACGAGGGTAAATCCGTTCCACAGCGTTCCGGAACGTTCTCAGAGAGTTCCGGAACGCTCTGAGGAGGCCGCGGCGCTCGAGATATCCCCCAGAGCCGCCAGATCTCAGAGATGCTTGGGCTTGCGCCACACCGCGGACCCCTTGGGGAACTGGCAGTTGTGGCGTGTTGCTCCCGAGGGCATCTTGGGCGCCTTTTCGGGGTTTCCCAGTGCCTTTGGAGCCTTTGGGGCGCCTCTCAGAGATTCTGGTATCCTTCTCCTCCTCCTCCTCCTCCTCCTCCTCCTCCTCCTCCTCCTCCTCTCTCCTCCTCCCTCCTCCTCCTCCTCCTCCTCCCTCCTCCCGTCCTCCTCCTCCTCCGTCCTCCTCCTCCCTCCTCCTCGTCCTCCTCCTCCTCCTCCTCCTCCTCCTCCTCCTCCTCCTCCTCCCCGTCCTCCTCCTCCTCCTCCTCCCCAGTGGCAGGCGAGGCCGAGGACGCTCCCGTGGTGTCCAAGGCCAGAGGCGTGCCACCAGCTGCGAACGCAGACGGTACGGGTTCAGGCAGAGCAGCATCGGGATCCGCTGCCAGCGGCAACAACACCGTAGCAGCAGCGCAACAAGCTCTGGGGCAAGGTGAAGGACATGGATTCCACGAAGAAGCAGGCCATGTTCATCAGCGTGCCGGTCAAGCAGACGTTCACGACGGCGCAGATGCTACGGGACCTGTGAGCCGCGGGCGTGGACACTTATTGCCTGAACGCAGTCCTCCCCGAGGTGACAGCGGCCCACGATGCAGGAGCGACGTATCCTGGCGAAGTCCCGCGGCAAAGGCCACCAACTCGGTCCTCTTCGCCTACATATTCGATGGGTTCGTGAGCACATTGCTCGAGCGTGGGCAGGCGCTGGGGCAGAGGACGCACGCCACGTTCAAGCTGTGGCACAGCAAAGTATGGTGCGAGCCTCAGGCCCCAGACCTGTACGACATCCTGCGCCTGTTCAGGGTCACGAAGTGCTTCGACCTGACGAAGAGTAAGCTGCACATCGTGCTTCGGGACATACCGTGGCCAGCCGTACCGCCAGAATCCGACGAGCACCGCTGCCTTCGCCACTGGTGCTCCGTAGCTTTCTGCAGAGGGCGTTCGTGGAGATCGGCGCTCGGAGGGCTCTGGGGGCGGCGCCGCCAGGCGCGATGGAAGAGATATTTCAAAACGCGGTAGACGGTAAGGATTCAAAATAATGATAAGATCATTGATTCCTCGTGCCCCCCAGCGTCAGAAAAGGGGGGCTCTCCCGCCCCATGGCGGGCGTCGCACAGTGCGCGTTTGGCCGTAAGGCCCACGTTCTTGTGTTAAGTGCGCCACTGACGGGAAGGTGCGTCGCATGCGTTTTTGCTGCCCCATCGTGGGACTTCCATCTCGTCCGCTGAATGCTATGTTATCATGGCGAACTGCAGGCCACGTTCATGACTTACTGCACGGATGAGCTGGCGGCCTTCATATTACGACAACTGGGGACGCTCACCGTCGGCGTTGACGGCTACTTCTTCTCCTGTTCCATGGCCGTGGTGAGGCCACCGCCTGTCGCCCGGCCTCGTATCACCGAGTGCAGTGACGCTCCCGCGAGGTCCACCCCCCTGTGGGTCTGTCTCGGAAATAACACTTTGGGGTCTTGGGGCCCCGAGCTCTCCGTCTTCTCGGGTCTGTGCGCACCGTATGCGTCGGCGCGCGAGACCTTGGGGCACTGTTTCCAGGCCTGTCAGGGCCCGCGGGGCCCCCTCGAACTGCATGATTTTAACCAGTCGCCCGACGGGCGCACCACCCCGAGCTTCACGATTGGAGTGGTCCAGTTCGGGATCCCACGATTTAAACGCTTCGCTGCATATGAAAGCTTCGCCTGCTGCCTGTTCACTCCGCCGCGGCTGTGCTGGCAAGACAGGGGTGCGGGCCCATAGTCATGTCTTATCTTATATTACCCCTCCTCCCCCTCCCCTTCGCCTTCCCCCCTCCTCCCCCTCCTCCTCCGCCTCCTCCTCCAATTTGTCCTCGTCCTGGCGTCGTCTTATGACGAGGGCCGCTGCCCTTTCGAGAGCTGGCAGTGCCCCTGGGCCCACGGCGCCCACGAGCTGCAGCGCGTCCGCTCGGAGGCGTGCGAGCTCGACCCTGGCGACGCGGCTCTCGCGGGGGGCCCGTGCGAGGCGGGCAACAAGGACGCGGGATGGAAAGCACATTGGCGGCGAAAGTGAGAAGGGGCTCATATAGGTCAGAAGAACGTCATCATAAATTGTTTGGCGCTCCGCGCGGATTTCTTGGATCCGCGCTGGGGCCCCCCGGCGGCGCCTCCAGCGCCGCCCTTGGCGCGCGGAACGCGCCAGGGAGGGGGGGCCCAGGCCAGATCCAAGAAATCAGCGCGGAGCGCCAAATGTTTACGTATATATATATATATATATATATATATATATATATATAATATATATGGCGTTTCTTTCTTCTTCTAATACGGGCGGCGAGCGAGGAGCGGGACTGACAAAGGGGCACATGTAGAACTCCCTCTCTGCATGCACGAGCTGAAGAGGGGGAGGAGGCGCAGGATTATTCAGCGGAGGATCACACGGCCCTGACGTCTCCCAGCAGCAAGAGCCAGAGATCGAGGACGGAGGTTTCTGTGTGCCCGTGTGCGTGTTCAATCCTTTTTGTGCTTTTGGGTCCTTCCCATTGGCGGCGGGCCCAGGGGGGGAAGTGAAAAGGGGTGGGCCTTCTCAAAAGGTTCGGAAGTTCCCAGGCTTTCTAAGAAGTCGTCGAAGCCGTCCCCAGAGACGCAGAAAGCTTCTCAGAAGGCGCACGGGGGCTTCTGAGAAGTCCCGCCGCCTTCTGAGAAAGCCTTCTCCTTATCGCGTACCCCCATCGCCCGCCGCCGAACATAGGCACTGGCATTAAAATGCGCGGATCACCATGAGAGCATGGGAGGACACCCATCAGAAATCTCAGAGAAAGCAGCAACGTCCATGGCTGGACCCTGGGCATTTTCTGAGAGCTTCATTTTCGCAAAGATGTGTTCTGGTCGTACTTGGACAACCGTTGACGAGAACGCTGGGAGGGAGGTCCACGTCCTTGGCTTAGAAGTCTCCGACACCCGCGCAGGGGTGTATGGGAAAGGGGGGGCAATGCGGGGATCGTCCAGGAGACGTGGGGACATCGGTGGGAGCTCCTGGGCTTCGCGTCGATTACTGTGTGTCTCTCTGGGCCCCCCCTCGCAGGACCGCTGTGGCGCGAGGCCCGGCGACCTCGCCGACGACCGGGCTAGCAGCAGCGGCCTCTCCCGGGGCGACACGGTGGACGTCCTCATGGACGCGCTCGCGGGCCCGGCCGGCGAGGAGAAGGCGGGGAAATCCGGGCCGTGCCCCTGCCGGCCAATGTCAGGAGGGACAAAAACACACAGACACAATTAATCGTCGATTCCCCAGAAAATATGGGAAAACATGGGAAGTGGGGGAAAACAAAAATCCAGACAATATAGGAAAATATGGGGAATCCTGTTATTTGTGTGTTTTTATTTGTGTGTTTGTGGGCCCCTTTACAATGGTCAGGGCAACTCGATGGGCGGCGTGGGTAGGTCGCGGAATGCGCCGAGCACGTGGCGGAGTCTGAGCCCTGCCCCCGCCTCCCATCGATGCAAGAGAGGCGATGGTCGGTTGGGGCCCAGCCTGGATGAACGCCGCCCAGAGTGCGGGCAATACTTAAATCCATATCCAGTGCGTCGTGGACTTTCTTGGAAGGGGCGCCGCGAGGCCGAGGCGCACTGGATATGGATAAATCTAGCCTTTTCGGGTCAGATTTCAATCCATATCCAGTGCGCCTCATGTTTTTGGGGAAGAGAGCCCGAAACTCCAAGACGCTCTGGATGTGGATATAGATATTGCCCGTACCGAGGAGCAGTCCCGCAAGAGGCAGGGTGCTCCAGACAGCCGAAAGCAGCGCCCGCGCTTCTGCGTGCAGTGCGGCGCTTCCGGCCACTCGCCCGCGGCCTCCTTCTGCGTGCAGTGTGGCTGCGCCCTGGTGGTCAAGAGACTCAGAAGAGGAAGAGGTATCGATACCGCTGCTCATCCTGGAGAACCCTCGTCGCCTGGATCCGCCCCGACATTCGGGTCAGAAACGCACCCAGGAAGAGGTCCAGGGAGCAGCGGCATCGGTACTTTCTCGTTTCCACAGACCCACGGCGCGCCCACTGGTTCAGTCTCCCCCCCAGGCTCTCTGCCCGTCCGGCCCTCGTCTCCACACAGGTGGAGGTCGTCGTCATCGTCGTTGCCGCCGTCGCCGCCGTCGTCGTCGTCTTCGCCCTCGGAGCGGTGCCCGAGATACATCCTCCAAAAACGCACCGCTTCGCGGAGATTCCCCATTCCTGTCGGCGCGACTGCGTCGCGACTCCGATCTCGGTCTCTGGAGGGGGGGGGGTCGCAGCAGCCTCGAGGCCGCGTCGACGCGTCGACGCGTCGGCGCGGGCCGCGCGGGCCGAGCGGGGCCGGAGGCGGCCCCCGGGGCCTCCGAGAGCGTGGCGAGGCCGGGAGCGGGCTCCTCCGCGCTCCGCGGGGGGCAGGGCGTCGGAGGGCGAGTCTCCTCCTCCTCTTCCTCCTCCTCCTCCTCCTCCTCCTCCTCCTCCTCCTCCTCCTCCTCCCCTTCCTCCTCCTCCTCCCCCTCCTCCTCCTCCTCCTCCTCCTCCTCCTCCTCCTCCTCCTCCGCCCTCCTGCCCTGGCACGTCGATTAAGGGTCTTGGCCGTTTTCGGTTCGCGAGGGGGGCGACGCGGCCGTCATTTTCGCGGGTCCAAGTCCGTCGGTTTTGGTCCCGGACCGTTTTCACTAGGGGGAGGTTTACTAGAGGGAGGTTTGTCCACCGCCGAGCAAGCTATCCATACCGCTACAGGTGTGAGTCGGGCGTGTCCCTCTGCGGGCGGGATGTTCACAGATGGTCAAGGCATGTCAGGAGGGAGGAACAAAACACATGTTTTTTGCGGGTCGAGAGCGCACCTCTTCCGGTCGAAGCTAAGCGGGCCGCGCGAAGCTTGAATTAACTAGCGATGGGGGAGGAAAAGGGGGGCGCAGCCTCAGAACGTGGCCGGGGAGGAAAAAAACGAAGAAAAAACACAGACGCAATGAATCGTCGATTCCCCAGACAAATATGGGAAAATATGGGAAGGGGGGGAAAGGCAAAAACCCAGAAGATATGAGAAAGTAGGGGAAATCCTTTTATTTGTGTGTATTTATTTGTGTCTCAGGCCCCTTCAACACAGTCAGACGACGATGTGTTGACTATGTTAGAACATGTTTGGGTTATTGCTGGAGTATTTCTTATATTTCGTCCAATATCCGCTTATAGGGGGACATGCCCGACCTTTGGCTACAGTGGAGACCCATGCAACGGAACACCCTGCTTGCCTCCAGGGTGCCCTCGGCTTCTTGGGTTTTGATGGATCTGGTGTGGAAAGCGCGACGTTCCCACACCAACAATCAATGGACGCCCTGGGGTCTCCGGGTTGGGTATCTTGTGGAAGGTTTCTTGCGGACTGGCCTCCATTGTACCCTTCCTCGTGCTCCCCTTTTCTCTTGGGCCTCTTGGGAGGTCCGCCTCGACATCCTGGTCCGGCCGCACCCCAGGAGAGGTCCTGGGAGTAGCGGTTGGTCGTCGAGTGATGGAGGGGCGGCGAGGGTTGCAGAAAAAACGGCTCAATAGAGGGGCTCCCAGAAGACGCCTTTTTCGGGCCCGAAATGTGGCCCATCAGGCCCCCGAAGAGTGCACTCTCCTCCTCCCCCTATTCATCTTGGACTCCCAGGTGGGGCCCGAGTGGATGGGGTTGGCGGGTCGCACCTCGATGCATCGGCGATGCGGCTCGATGTGGAGCCCGATGTTCGGCGTCGCCGATGCAGCGCCTGCGCCGCAGGCGCATCGCCGATGCGTCGGCGGTGCGTCGCCGCTGCACCGGTGCTGCACCGGCGATGCGGCGCGGCCCCCCGACCCCATCTGCACTCGGACCCCCTCCAGGAGGCCTCTGAGTCATCGCGCCCCCATCACTCGGCATCGCTCGGACGTGCGCATTTTTCCCTCGGCGAGGAGCACCCTTGATCACTTGGCAAAAAGACCACGCACGGAACCGAAGAATGCACGGGAAATGGACGTCCGAGCGATGGCCAGATCAAGCGACGCCAAAAGCGGCATCGGCACCCTTTCTGGTGTGCCCGCGGGCGCCCCGCGCCGACGCGGCGTCGGGCGCAGCTCCCGCGCCGACGCGACGGCGGGGCGCCCGCCGCGGGGCTGCACCGGTGGCCGCAGCCGGGGGGCTCGCAGGTGGAGTGCAGCAGTGCCTCGAAGAGCTCGCCGCAGGGCGGCTGCGCAGGCCCAGAGGAGGAGGAGGAGGAGGAGGAGGAGGAGGAGGAGGAGGAGGGAGGAGGGAGGGGGAGGGGAGGGAGGGAGGAGGGAGGAGAAGGGAGGGAGGGAGCGAGGAGGGAGGGAGGGAGGGAGGGAAGGGGAGGAGGAGGGAGGAGGAGGGAAGAAGAAGAAGAAGCAGAAGAAGACGAGGACGAGGAGGAGGAGGAGGAGGAGAGGAGGAGGAGGATCGGGAACTGGAACATGTACATTACCAGTGGCGTGCTGTTTCTCGATCCCTGGACTTTTTGACGGTCATGGACGACGTCGGGGTGGTGTGGTGTATCGTTGTTCCCCCGTCTTCCTGGGAAGATGACGAACATGTATACACCAGCATCCCGTATACACCAGGATCCGCTTTCCTGTGCGAGTTTCATGCAGGGCCAGAAAAAACGTCGGTGTATAGAGTTCGGTTCCCTAGAGGAGGAGGAGGAGGAGGAGGAGGAGGAGGAGGAGGAGGAGGAGGAGGAGGAGGAGGAGGACTGGAGGACTGGAGGACTGGAGGAGGACTGGAGGAGGACTGGAGGGGCAGTGCTGGTCTCGAGGGACGGAAGCCTTGAGATCCTGGGGGCTCGATTTGTTCGAGCCCCGCGTTGCCGCCCATTTTCGGGCCCCTGGTTCCCTACAGATCGGTCCGGCTCGAGACATGGCGCAGCAAGATGGGTGCTAGGGTTCCAGGTGTGATTGTTGCTTGCAAGTTGTTCGCACCGTCGGACTTCATGGAAGCGCGATCCATGACCAAGACGGAACGCGGAAGCGTCGGTACCGAGATGGGTCATCGTCCATATTAGGCATCGTCAATTCGTGGGTCGTCCTCGCGAATCGGTAGCGGCTCAGACTAGAGAAGTTGCTCAGAGAGTCGATCCGCGGCGTCGTGAGAGGACAAGACCCCCCCAAAAAGAAAAAGGCCCAGCCCGCCGACCCCAACTTCCCAGACCCCCGACGTCGTGTTTGCTCACAGCGTCGACCCCTAGAGGTCCAGACCCCTTCCCCGGTGCCGGTTTCTCATCCCGAGTCGTCTTTTGACGGTCCCGAGGCCAGGTAAGGGCCCCAGGGGGCCGAAAACGCAGAAAAACCTCCCGCCGTGTTTTTTCACGGTCCCGCTTTTTCATCCCGAGTCGTTTTGTTGACGGTCCTGAGGCCAGGTAAGGGCCCCAGGGGGCCGAAATCGAAGAACAAATTCCCGTCGCGTTGTTTCACCTAGGGTGCGATCGCTGCAGACCGGGCGCTCATCCCTAACGCCCTGGCCCGGCCTCCGGAGAGCCAAAAGCCAGGAAGAGATCATTGTGTTGTCTCCTTCTTCCATTCTCTCGTCGTGTTTTTTCACCACGCGAGGGGGTCTGTCTTTGCGCCTCGTCTCTCGGGCCAGACGGTCCGTGAGGTCCCCCAGGGGGGCCTCGAGATGGGGCGAAGGCGGAGCGCCAGCCCAGGTCGCTAAGGATGGGGCGCGGAGGCAGCCGCGCGCAGTTCGGGGGCGGAAAAGAAGGGGGGTGATGACCAGGGGGGGGGGGATATCATGGCGTGGGCCATGTTCCCCAGATCTCATGGCGCCTCTTCTCATGTCATTACGTCCCTGGCCCCCCCGCTGGGCCGCGCACATGCCGCCGGGCATGATTTGCACCCCCCCTCTTGGACTCTCCCCTCTTGGCCGCTCCCGAGCAGTCGCGAGCAGCGAAAAAAGCGCGAAGCTCGGAGGAGACGTATTTTTGATTGAGGATTGAGTTTGCTGGAAAGCGGGCCTGCCGCTGCGTTTTGACTTCGGCACTTTTTTTGTTTCTCCTTTCAGGCTAGATCAGGCTAGCGTGTGAAAGGCGGGCGCATGCGGTCGTTAGGCGTGCGTAAGAGCATGCGAGGAG